TTTTATCCAAAGGCCCAGACAAAAGATCAGCAGGCCTGTTCTTCGGCCGCCCAGGTCACAGGCCCCAGCCCCTTGTGGTGGGGTACTCCCTCACCTGTCACAATCCGGAATAGTAGCTTTCCCCTACAAGTCAGCGCCACCCGCCATGTGCTAAGGCAGCGCTTGCGCTGGCTCCAATTCAGTCACCCCTTGCGTCTGAATCAGTGGCGCGGTCAGTGAGCCTTACACTCCCAAACCAACTTGATGGTGATTGCAGCGAATCCGTCTAATCCAACTGATTATTTTTTTTCCTTTCTCAACTACTTACTTTCACCCTTTTTCTAGAGAATTGTAGATAGCTTTCTAAAGAAATTGTAGATAGCTGGGAATAGCTGTGAATAGAAATAAATAGTTACTTTTTCCAACATGAATTTTGAATTATAGCTGTAAATAGAACAAAAATTTTTGAATTATAGCTGTAAATAGAACGAAATGGGTTTTCAAAATTGCAAACAAGCTAGAGAGAGAAAAGCAGCCCTGAAGTACAAAAAACAAAGCAAAAAATAAAAACCTTGGAAAGGGCTGGCCCTAAAGTACAAAAAATTCAATATAATAAAAACTTTGAAAAAGCAGGGCTTGGAGACAAAAACTTTCTTGAAAAGCAGCCCTGGAAGCACAACAACAAAAAAGCAGCCCTGAAGTACAAAAAAAAAAAAAAAAAAAAAAAAAAATTAAAAAAAAAAAAAAAAAACCCAAGTTCCCCCCAAGGTGGAACAGGGTTTTGTTTGTAGTGGTATGAGCCCCCCTGCAAGCCACATGTCCAAAGGGTCAGTTGATGAGTGGCCTCCCCGGGCCGCGGCCGCACTACCCAAGCCGGCAAGCATTCCAGTCTTTGGCTGCAGTCACAGATATTTTGGATTAATTTAGTATGAGAAAAACAAGACAATAGTGAGGCTGTATTGATTTGGCTTACCTTGTTAGCAACAACTGCTGATGAGGTGGGAGGAGTAATTGGCTTGGGCTTATAAACAGAAACCCACATCTCCCGGGTGAGCCGTAT